GTCAAATAATTAATCTACTCCAGATTTCAATCTAGCACATTTATCACATGAGAAAAGGATGCCGAAATAAGCAGGAAACTGCAGCTTTCTCTGTACCTCTCTGCATGCCATCGTTGCACTTCTGTTCTCTTCCTGAAGGAGACAGCAGTGAAAGCATGCCTTTTGTTGTGCTGGAAAAATCCATTTGACAAAAGGCACACTTTCATGGCCATCTTCGCCAGGAAGAAAACAGAAGTTCTATGATAGAATGCAGTGAGGCACAGAGGAAGCCACTACTCTCCCACTCTGTTTTGGCTTTCTTTTAATAATAATAATAATAAGATTTATTTATACTCCACCCTTCTGTTAAAAACAATCGGGGCAGCTTACAACGGATTAAAAATTACATCAAGAATACAGAATAAAAGCCCCCAAACCCCACCCTCCCCCCTTTAAAAAAGTATTAAACAGTACATCATAAAACCAACATAAAATCACAGGAAAATTAAGATTAAGATAGTTTAAAATAATGCCAAGCAAACAAAAGCCGAGGGCAAACCAAAAACTGAAAGAGGTAGGGTGGCGCAACTCCTGAGGCCTTTTCTCATGCAATAAAGCTCTAAACATCCAAGGAGCTGTCTGAGGTGCAGAACAACCCAGTCCTCAAACTAACTACTTTGGATCATTCCTTAATTTAGACTAAGGGCCTATACAGACTGCCAAAAATAATCCAGCTTGAGACCACTTTAACTGTCCTGGCTCAATGCTAGAGAATAATGGGGACTATAGTTTATTGTGGCACCAGAGCTCTCTGACAGAGAAGACCCAATGTCTCTGGAAAAAAACCCACTACAATTACCATGATTCCCTAGCATTGAGCTAAGACAGTTAAAGTGGTATCAAGATGGATTATTTATGGCAGGCTGTAAAGGGCCTCAATCACAGAGCAAATTTGCTGCCCCATTATCATAGGAGCCATGAGTCTGCACAGACATGAGGTTTATCCTCATCGGCAGGAATATGTTTATATGAGCGAAGATGTAGAGCTTGGAAAGATTACTTTTTTGACTGCAACTCTGAGACACCCTTAGTCAGTATGGTTAGTAGTCTTACAGGCTGGAGGATTCTTTTTTTCATAGATGAAAAAAACACAACATTTCCAAATGGTGGAAAGGGAGAATAGAAGAATTAAATGGCAATGATGAAGTGCAAAAGGTACAGATTTTGGAAATTCATTCGGAGGCTAAGGACACAATCCTATTCTCAAGTTCAACTGGGTATGGGGTGATTGGATATGGTGGAAGCTCTGCTAGCATGGTGAAATGCCAGTTGTACTGCTGCCATGACGTGTGTGTAAGTATTCTGTCAACAATAATATACATAGGGAAAGGCTAAAACTTTACAGAGTTGGTGGTGGCATAGGATGCAATGGTGCATACTATATTCCTCTAGCCTACAACCATACATTTTCCCATGGAGAAATTTTACACCAGCTTTCAACCTGACACAAAGAATATCCTTCCCATTAAAACTGTTGAGGGGGAGAATAAATAATAGGATTAGAGGTAGCCACTTCCATGACTCCATGTTTAGAATATGGCATAACCCAATTCCACTATACCACTGCCCATATATTAGCGATCTTTTGACTATGATAACTTTCTTTTTAAAAAAGTGCATGCAAAAATTGAGTGAGGCCATATTCACTTTTCCTTGGTGGGACTTGAGTTTCCCAGCTGTATGCACTATACAAAAAACTGCCGGTGAGTGTCTCTGTGGCTGCTATGGTTGTATGACCTTGGTTGTGTCTTCAGCTCTTGTCTACAACTTGGAAAAGCCATAGCTGGGGTTATTGGGGGTGTAGTAAAAGGGGTTAAAGCTATTTTCCAGACTCTCCAGGGGGGCTGTATGTGTGCTTTGCAAGTCTTCTGCCAGATTGGAGTGATGGCGTTGTTCTCTTCTGTATATTCTTTATCCCTTCTTAATGTGCTTTGTACATTAAAAATATTTGTAAGAGGATTGTGTTAGGAATACCTGGGGCCTTTCAGGCATAGGGTCATTGCTGGCTGTGCTAATGGGGTGAATAGAATAGGGGTTCTGTGGTTTCAGTATTGAATGTTGTGTACATATAATTATGTGTGTATTGTGTGTGTGTGTGTGTGTGTTCTGGACCTCTGTCTCCATCATGAAGTCATTGACTGCCACAGGATAGTGGAATAGATTTTATTGTTGTCTGCAACACAGTCTCCGATTGGTGACATAATTTCATTTCATTTTAGCCAGAAATCAATTCTCAGTTCATTCCCCCCCCCATATGTTTTCCATTAATAAAATAACTCATGGTTGAGGTTTTTTCTGTCTGTGTCTTTCTGTGAATATCCTAGATATTGATTTTTACTTTAAACTACAGTATTGCCGGTTCAAATTAATTGTCAGCCAGGAGCTGTCCCAAGTTTCAGTGTCATCTTCTGCATAATGATACAGTTGCATAGAAATCTAGCATACTTCCCATTATATATATTTGGGCTAGTTGGGACTGGTGTAGCAACGGTACATGTGATGTCAAAATATAGCATACATTTTCATGTCATTCTTCACAGCTGATTGATTAGAAAGATCATAAATTTTACATATATACTAAGATTCCATTCTGTTTATTGTTTTTAAGTGCATTTAGACTGAACAACAAAAAGCAAAGTAAACATTAAGCCCGTATTAAGTATACTTGTCAAACAGCTTTTAATGGAGATGTTCTGATATTGTCTTGTAAAATATTTTATGGGACATCCGTGGGCTTTCTGTGGAAGTTGTAAATTAATTATGAAACTGACGAACAAATTTGCTGTTAGCTTTTCCTTCCCTTTAGAACAGCATGGCCCCAAAACATACTATGATTTGTTGGCATAAACTTTGCATAAATGTAGTTACCACATTTAATTGCTTGGGTTGGGTATGAATTTCTCAAGAGAAAACATTTCCCATTTCCATAAAAGCTTATATTTTTGTTTCTAACATTTGGTTCATATTCATACAGTCAAAAGGTAAAACATGACAATATTTTATTTCTATGTACATGTCTTTGTACACAAAGGCATTCAAGTATGGTTTACAACAGATTTTTTTTTTTTTAAATCAACACTTTTCATGTCAAGAAGTTACCAAACTACTGATATATTGTCAGCCTGGCACTATATTCCTCACAGCAAAATTTTGGAATCATAGAGAGTTGGAAGAGACCCCAAGGGCCATCCAACCCAATCCCCTGCCATGCAGAAATTCACCATCAAAGCACTCCCAACAGATGGCCATCCAACTTCTGTTTAAAAACCTCCAAAGAAGCAGACTCCACCCTTCTCAGAGACAGCATATTCCACTGTCGAACAGCTCTCACTGTCAGGAAGTTCCTCCTAATGTTTAGGTGGAATCTCTTTTCCTGTAGGCTGAATCCATTGATCCATGTCCTATTCTCTGGAGCAGCAGAAAACCAGCTTGCTCCATTCTCAACATGACATCTCTTCAATTATTTAAACACGACTATCATGTCATCTCTTAACCTTCTCTTCTCTAGGCTAAACATACCTAGCTCCCTAAGCTATGTCTTATAGGGCAGGGTCTCCAAATCTTGTTCATGCCTCTTAGAAATAAACCCCAGCATGGCTGTCAGGTGTTTAAAATCTTAAAGTGGTGGCAAGGCAACTGTGGAGTCTCTAGAGTCCATCGCGGTACTTGATTCCCAGGCCACACTCATCCTTAAAAAAAATAAAAGCCAGAAGTAATGGAGGGGGTCACCTGGTTTTCTAAAAAAAAAAATTATTTCAGGTGTTAAAAAGGTGTAATGGAAAACTGGAATAGCTCTCAGGTGGAGAGTCTTGTCCTCTGTGAGTTTTGTCCATTTTCTTAAAAGTCAAAGGATGTCAGGTGGCAACACAGAGGGTCGTCTGGGGGGTCCATGATCCTATACACTTGTCCATCCACATTCGCTGGGGTTAGGGGCTTAGGACCCCTGTGAATGTGGAAAAATCATACATAACAAAAAAAAATACTATTTTTTTTACCAGAGAGAACACCTCTCTAGGAATCTCCAGGTCATCCAGTGCAAGTCTGTGGTCAACATCTGCCAGGCATTGACCATAGAATTGGGCTGGAGGAGCTACAAATGCCAAATGGAGTGTTCTCTCTAGGTCCTTCAGTGCGAATTTTGGTTAAAGCTGACCATAGAGTTGCGCCGCAGGACCTAGATATTCCTAGAGGGAACATGTTAATAAAATCCATGAATAATCAAATCTGCAAAGATAAAATCTGCAAATGTGGAGGGATGAGTGTATAGTTGGGTGTTGCATAAGAATTTTGCATGCATACTTCTGCTATAGCGCATCCATCAGCAGTCGCAGGACTCACTATGGGGGGTTGCAGACTGCCAGGAATAGTGCAAATTGAGTCTACTTTTAGGGTTAGGATTAGTGCTAGGGAATCATGGGAATTGTTTTTTTTCTGAGACATTGAGCCTTCTCTGTCAGAGAGCTCTGGTGCCACAATAAACTACAGTTCCCATAATTCCCTAACCCTAACCCTAAAAGTGGACTCAATTTGCACTATTTCTGGCAGTCTGCAACCCCCCTATGTTGCTTTCATAGCCCCATCCCCAAAGCAACATAGTGAGTCCTGGGACTGCTGATGGATGCGCTATAGCAGAAGTCTGCATGCAAAATTCTTATGCGACACCCAACTTTACATTCGTCCCTCCACATTTGCGGCTTTGACTTTTGCTTTTGCGGCTTTAACTTTTGGCTTTCTCTGGCTGGTGGGGGGTTTCAGAAAAGCATCTGGCTGTGTTCCCATACCCAGATGCAAACCAAGGACATCTTCCACCAAGATCAAATTGGGGCTTCCAGAGGTCTTAGCAAATAATGTCATCAGTCTGCATCTAGCTATGGGAATGTCACCAGATATTTCTACAATCCCATCTGCTGTCCATCAGCCACAGAATGACTGTGGAAGAGAGTTATAAGAATGAAATGAGAGCCAAAGTGGTGCAGTGGTTTGAGCGTTGGACTGTGACTCTGGAGACCAGGGTTTGAATCTCTGCTTGGCCATGTAAACCTACTGGCCTTGGGCAAGTCAGACACTCAGCCTCAGAGGAAGGCAAAGACAAACACCTCTGGGCAAATGTTAAGGAAAACTCATGCTAGGTGCAGTTTAGGATTGCCATAATTTGCAAATGACCATGGGCAAGTCAGACACTCTCAGGCTCAGAGGATGGACATGGTAAACCCCCTCTGAAGAAATTTGTGAAGAAAACCCCATGATAGGGTTGCCATAAGTTGGAAACAACTTGAAGGCACACAACAACAACATGGTGAGGGGTGGGGGGGGGCTTTGATTGTTGCGTTGGCAGGAAGGGAATACCAATATCTGCAACAACTACAGAAATACACAAGTGTATGGTGGAATTATGCTTGCATAAGTCACTAACAGGATGGCTCCTATAAGTGTCATATAGCACACAGCGACCACCCCTGGGTTGCCACATTTTGATGAAATTGACATTTCTGAACCATCTTTAAAACTGACTTAATTATAGAGCATATATTACTTAGCTGTACGTGATCACCGAGGCAAAGTCAGCATTTTCAGATGCTCCTGGTTTACATACCTAAAGTGCTGAAAAGGCATTCCTGGTTGCTGCAGCCAGCTGAGCTTTCCCAGATACTTTTCTCTACCACCATTTCACCCTGCTCCTTCTCTGAAGACTATTGTGTAGCATTGTGTTGTTCTCTCACCACCCATTTTAGCCTCACAAAAAGACCTATGAAGTAAATTAGACTGAGAGACAGTGACTGCTTCAAGGTCACTCAATGAGCATTGGAGGAAAAAGAAGCAGAGAAACATTGGTATTTGATACTGAAATGAGAATAGCTTTGTAATTTAAGCCCTAAGCCCAGAAGAGCAAATTAGCCCCAGTATTTAGTGTAAAGTAGTAGAATTCCATACTGCTTTCTCATCTAAATTGCTTGTTCTGCTGATGACTTACCTTTTTGACTTACCACTAAAATTACTTTTCTGGGTTTAAACCTTTAAACTTGCATAATGCCACAGCTCAGAAATACCTTGCATGCTTGCACATACATTTCTAAGGTTGGTGGCTTGAACAGGAGTGGGGCCTTCCAAAATGGTGCCCACCGCCGTACGCACAACGCCGGTGCGTTGAGCGTTCCAAAATGGCATGCACCGCCATGCGCATACATGTGCAAAATGGTGCTTGTGCGTGGTGGCGGCAGTGGCGGGACCGGCCACGGGGCGGTTCAAAGGCCTCGGTGGGCCGGGTCCGGCCCACGGGCCATAGGTTGCCGACCCCTGCTTTAGGGTCACCATAAGTTAGAAAAGACTTGAAGGTACACAACAGCAACAGCAACAACTTTTTTACCTGCCTGGGTTGTGGGTAGGACACACTGCCATCCTCATACTAAAGTCCCTGGGAGGGATTGTGACATTTGGACAGGCTGTTCACAGCTCTTGTACCAGCTTTTTAGAGCTTGTCTTGTGCATAACAGGTGCATTTCAGCAGGAGGTGCCTTTTATAGCTTTTCCTTTTAAAAAAAATCCTCTCATTTTTTTTCCTTACCTGAAACTGGCCACCCAAAATGCATCACTTTCTGCTTCAGTAATGTCTTTCATTGAAGAGATTGGAAAACTGGGCTGCAGGGTTCCCAGTATCACAGATATAGATTGGAAAGCAGGATGCAGCGGGTACACCAGTGATAAGTGGTAAACTGTTAAGGTGAATTTTAGTATCCCTAGATTCAGTGGTTTTAGCGCAGGGTTTGATTCTCCCCTCAGACATGGGAAACCTGTAATAGGATCACCTTAAGGTTGCCAAAAGTTGGAAATGACTTGCACACAACAACAATAGAGATTCAGATAAGCAGAATATGGCCTTCCATATCTTATTGGATTGCAACAACCAGTATTCCTCTTTACAGGCTATAATGGCTCTAGATGATGGGAGTTTAAGGATGCCCCAAGATACTATGGAGTTTAGAGACAAAAAAGCCAGTTGAGACCATTCTTCCACATTAGTAGTAACAGTATATTATTAAATCAGATGACTAGCAATCTGTTATCCTTTAAAGGTACCTAAAACCTGCAGCCTGAATCATACTGCCTTGAAAGGATTGTCTCTGCCCCCTACATGCAGCAAACAAGAAGATTTAAGGTGGGAAAAACAAAGTGCTTATGTAAAGGAGTAAAATAGATATATTGAGGTTAAGTACATTTAGATTATTTCATGCTCTTCTGACTCTCAGCACTTATTTGCTATGTGTTCAAAGGAAACATAAAGAAAGATTAGTAGGGGGGAAATTGATTGTGGGATTGTAACTATGAAACAGAAAAGAATGTTTATATATTTCCACAGTTTGAATTTTGTACCCCAAGTAGACTCCATGCTTGGCAATGGAAGTGAGCCCACTGTCATTTTGAATATACAGAATTCACTAATATCAGTAAACCCAATGGCATAGTAGTGGGCGCCTGTTGCAATAAAAGGATTTTCTTCCCATTTCTTTTTGCTTGCTTTGCAGTCTTCCACAGCACCTCAAAATCTGTTTCATAGGGTTTTCCAGCCCTTCTGAGCAGATTTTGATGGCACAAGGTCTTATTCTTTTCCCAGTTTCATGAAACATTTTATATACAGAACGTCTTCATATCAAACCTTAATCCCTAAGTACATCTTTCAGAACATAATGAATGCACGTCTCCTAAGTCAACCTGCTTAGGATCAGTTGGTTTGATTTAACTGTACAATCCTATATATCTGGGCTCAAACAAATTCTATTGGGTTCAGTGGAGCTTTTTTCTAGTTAAATAGATATAAGCTGGTATAATGGTTATCCTTACAATGGCTTATGCTAATTATGATAAGTAATACTGAGGGGAAACACTAAAGAGTTAAATATCTGGGGTCTAGAACTGTCTATATAGTAAGGATATCACTTGGTTAAAATATTTTGAATTATGTGTTTTAATTCAATCTACATACATTTCTGTATACATCTCAAAGGGGGAAATGTACTTTGTTTTTCACTGCATGCATTCATATGCCACAACAAATACTATCTCAGAAGAGACATTGCAGCTTGTGTGAAAAAAGAAGAATGCTTTTTCCAAAAAGGCCATTTATTTATAAGCATTTGTACAGAAAATAATATTTTAATTGGAGGACTTCATGAGTGATTAGAACACTATTAGAGCACTGTTAATAATATCTGTTTCACAGTGCATATTTCACATTCTGTGAGGTATTTAGAATTCTTTGCCAGAGACCTGTACTCCCTTATGTGTGTGTATATGTGCCTTCAAGTCCCTTGTCAACTTATGGTGACCCCATGGATTTCATAGGGTTTTCTTAGATAAGGAATATTCAGAGTGGTTTTGCCAGTTCCTTCCTCTGAAATATTGTCTACAGCACCTGGTATTCATTGACTGTGTCCCATCAAAGTATGAACCAGGGTTGACCCTGCTTAATTTCCAAGATTAGATGAGATCTGGTGCTTTTTGAGTATTTATGTGTCCGTTACCAAAATACAAATCCCAGGATTCTGTAGGATGGAGTTGTGGCAGTGAAAGTGCTATAATTATGTAGTGTGACGAAGGTGACAAATAGTTGATTGAATGTTGCAGTTGACTGACTGTTGCAGTCACTCCTCCGTTCTTGTGGACCTGAAGTCCACGGTTTTGCATATTCACGGAGGAGCGACCTCCATTAAAATCAATGGGGTGTGCCCCTGCGGGGGTGCACCCCATTCAAGCCTATGGGGTTTGAATATTGGTGAATCTCCGTTTTCACGGGGGGGGGGGAGTCCGGAACAGATCCCCCACAAAAACGGAGGGCTGATTGTATTACCATTTGCATCTTGAGTCTTACTATGGTGTGATGATTTCCATTTTTTCTATACTACATTTAAAAGCATAGTGTAATTATATTACCTCTTATTTAAAAGTCACACCTTCTTTCCTATTTTGCCCATCATCCAGTATATTTTTCTGAAGATGGGGTGAGCATTCTTGCCTTCAGCAGCAAGGCCCAAAAATGTATTTTCATGTTTTGCAGGATACTTTTAAAATCCAAACCCAGCGAGCCTTTTTGGATGTTTATCTTGCTGATGGAAGGTATCTCAGAATTGATATTCAGACATCAGATACTGCTGAAAGAGTGCTAGAGGTAAGTAAATTTGAAAGCTTGAAAGATTCTTTTTTGGGACTTCTAATTTAAAAATGTACCTTTTCCAAGACCTGCTTCTTTTACAAATGACATATGAAGTGTTTACAGGCATATTTAGCAATTATTTTAAAGTGGTTTTAAACCACCTTTCATCCTTGCAGATGTATAACAGCACATAGCTTGTTCTGAATAACCATACATATTTGTCTAAAGACTGTAAATAATTTTTGGAAGAATATACTTATTTTAAAAAGTGATTATTTCTTATTAACACAACCTGGAGTTGTGACCGATAACTATTTGGATTATACCTGTAACTCCTGGGGGAAAGAACTGGTGCAGATGCGCCCATAGAACCAACAAAGGTAGACATGTAGGAGCCTTTCATACTTACATTTTGTTCTGTGAAACGTTAAAGTTTTCAACAACTACATTAAACCTTTAAAAGGTGTCACCTAGATGATTTTCTCTCTCTCAGTCTCTGCAAGAAAAAACAAAGATCTATTTATGGAATTTTTCTGTTCCATGGTGTTGAAAAAGGTAGTGTAAATACATGTTGTCGGGACTACTTTTTGGTTCACAGGTTAAGGGGAAACTGCCTCTTTTCTTTTCCCTAGGTTGTATCATACAAGATTGAGCTTTCACGAGAACTACTAGGGTATTTCAGCTTATTTCTTATTCAAGATCACAACGATGGAAAGCTATCTGGTAAGATGTGCTTTGCATACTAGGAGCACAGTAAACGCTGCAGTCACACTTCTTTGCATTTCTTTAATTTGGGGAAACTTTAGGAGACAGCTTTGTGGAAGTAACTGTTTTTCTCATCAAATTTGCCAGGCATTGGTTTTAAAAACCAAATTTAGATACATTATT